GGCACGGCACGGCACGGCACGGCACGCGCGGCGCCCGCTGCGCGAAGGACCCCGCCCGCGGTCGGCGCGCCGCTCTGACCCGCTCGAAATAAATGAGATGATGATCTGCGCGTCTTTGCTGGTGTGTGGGTGCGTGCATGCGTATGTGAAAGAGTCAACGCGGGAGAGGGGAAGCAGTTGGGATGAATGAGCAAATAATGAGTGGCTGTGTTTATTCACATGTAGGTGGGTATTGGCTCGTGTGTGGATGAGAATGGACTCATGTGTGAGTGGGTATGGACTCCTGTGTGAGTGGGTATGCGCTTACATTTGAATGAATATGTACTCCTGCGCGTATGTGTGTGTTCCCTCGCTGCCCAATTGTTTTTAATGCAAACAAACACGGAAATAGTAGATATCCTTGAAATGTCAGAAAATGAATATTAACGAAGGGGAACTAATGAATTATCTAATGTCCATGCCTATTCAGTGTTTCTTGAATTACAGTTTAGTTGTTTGCAAGTAGAGCCCAAAGTATTTAGTGCGGTGAATTTCAGTTTTATTGTTGGAAAATTCAATTAATCCTTGTCGATAAATATGAAGGAAAATTAATACGTGAACTGAGTGAAGTAGTAGTTTATGACGTTCACCTACAAATTCACCTTTTGATGGTTCCTATAAATTTCCTTCCAAGTTATTGTTTCGGCGTTTATTCTTTCCAGCACGAGGGTACTATACGTTTTGCAAATTCAACACCAATTTGCAATTTACGACAAGACGTGATATAAACTCATAACCTTAAGAGTCCAAAGTAATCGCTAAGAACACCCTCAACCAAGTGCAGGCCTTTACGACACGCAGGAGCTGTAAGATTCTTTCCGAAAGCTTTTCGCACATAAGGTATTAAACATTACTCCTAGGCTCCAGTTTCGTAACGCCGGAACTTTATTGAGTGGTGCGGTAACGACCAATAGAGCAATCACCAAGACCGAACAAGAAGAGACCCCAGGATGTGGAGTCAGTCTGACGAAGAATTGCCCCGCATGCTACTGCGGAACTGTTTGCATTTGCGGTAAGCTATTCCGCACCGTGGGGCAGTGGCTAGAGATGGCGGGGCGTTCACGTCAGTGAAGGTCTTGAAGAAAAAGTTACAGGAACTTGAATTGAGATTATTGTTCTGATAATAGAAAGAACTCCCAAACTGGACTGAATACTTATATATGACGGTTCACTACGCACTATTGTGGTTGTTTTGTATAAGCTCATGCGCATTCAGAAGTTCATAATAATAACTTCTCTCTTTTAGGCAAAAGAAAAACTAAGCAGAGAAGTCTAGTTTTGCAACTAACAAGTTCAGTATACGACAATTTATACCTTACATTGTTATTGTTAATTGCATTTAATTTTAAGAAGAAAGTGTGGGAAGGAACCAACAGATCACCTCAGAAAAAAACTTGACCTCTCTCATTTCGCCCTGTCGGGTTGAAATTAGAAGGGGAAAAAATTGCGATGTTTTCCAATTTGCAAATCTCAATTTTGTTTTTTTATCCCTTTTTATATTTTAATATTCCTGTACATTTTAATTATAAATAAATTCTGTTTACTTCAAGTTGATTACTTGTTTCACGGCACTCTCGTCGAAGCTAATGAATGGAGACGTTCGCGAAGATGCGTAATGTGAGCGGAGGGGTTCCGTGAAGTGGCCGCCGCTGAGCGCGCACGCCGTGCGGTGGCCGTGGCGTGGGCGTGCGCGTGTGCGGGACGGGGCGTGAGCTCGAAAGCGAAGTGCGGAGCGTGATGGAGGGGGCGGGGGCGGGGATCGCCGAGAGCGCGCGTCGCGTGACGGCCCACGCGGAAAAATCGCCCGAGACGACGCCCTGCTGCCTGCGCGAATGCCCGCGCCCGAGGGCGAATGTTGGGGACGGGGGTTGCGGGTGGCTTCGTCAAGGGGAAGCAGGCTGGACGGGCGCGATCGTATTGTCGTACCCAAGCCTTTTAGTCTTTTAGTATTTGTGTATTACACATGGATGTAGGGTTATTCAGTTATCCTGATACTTCACTTTCCTGATATCTTGAATTTTCTTTCAGCCTCTTTCTCATTCGTTGCCCTTATTTAAAATTTATCTAAATAAATATTACAACAAGAAAGCATTAGTGACTACTCGAAGTGTGTGTGGGGGTATTCGATTTAGATACGACACGCGTAGTTGTCTAACAAACAACTGCTACGATAACACTGAAACGGAAATTTAAAAATGAAATGTGTAAAGAAATCGGTTTTTGTATATTCGTGAATTAAATAATAAAGAAGATTAAGTTGAAACTAAAGTTTCTACAAGCAAAGGGTGCAATTTGTTTTATATTCGACAGAAGTTGCATTTGTCACTTAACGGAATTTGAAATGTGTAACCAGTAGACATATTTATGCTTTTGTTTTCAAAGGAATTGTTATTATAACTAGTAATACTAATTACCATTCGAGTATTTTGCAATCAGTGGCAATAATTTTTTTGCTGTACAGATGTATGCAGAGTTCCTGCACGATACAATATATTTTGTGTGTGTACGTTAATACGAGAGCTATTTTCTTTTCTGCAGTAAAGGAAATTAACTTAATGTTCATATTTATATACGCTTGTATGCTTTAGTTCTGTAAATGCGAGTAGATTCGCTCTCGGTCGACTCGTAGTCCCGGGATAAGTAGCGCCCGATTTTGCTGAGTGGGGGTGATTAAAGGCTCCTGCTGGTTACGTGCGAACAACTCACCCCCAGAGCCCCCGTTTGCTAATCTCAGAGCGTAAATCCCCGGACGAGAAACTACTCAGATAAACACTTTTCTTCTCCTTACTTTTCCGAGCAACTGTGGTGTTGGAAGAACGAAAGCGTTCTATTAAGAAAACGTTATGCAGGAGAGGTAATCAATGTATATTTTTACCTTAGTAAGTCTCATTAGTGGTAATATTCTGGAATCTCTCAGGTTATAAATGGAGAGACCACACGTCATGCTATTTCTTTTCGCTTAGAATATGCCCTCGAGTTGCATAGTACTGGAATATTTCTGCGTTTATCTTTTGACTTGTATTTCATTTATTACAGAAGAATTCAGTAACGAATACTGCGTAATTCAAGAAATAAAATGCTAATTGTGGCCATTTAAAAAAGTATCCCAAATAGTAGCATCTATTGTGATATGTCCACCAATTTACTGATATTTTTTCAACTTCACACAAAAATCTTATGCGTCTCTATTCACGTTATCCAAATATCACTGGGGAAAATGTAGCATTCTTTTAGATATCTTAGGGATCTATTATTCTTGTCTGGTGAATTGTATTGTGTTCAGGTGTACGGAGTTCTCCGAGCAGATATTCAGACAGCACAAAAGAACCTTGCCGTATTCGACCCTTCTTTCGTTTCCGGTCTACCAGCTGAGTGGCGCGGAAATCTGTTTCATCTTTGTTATGACCTGCTTCTCAAAACTTACGCTTATCGGAAAATTATTATTACTATTGGAGAATAGCCAATAGAATATATTAATAATCTTCATCTGTTTATTGAAGTCAATCATCATAATTTACTGAAGTCCAATGCATTTCATATGTGCAATTGCAAGGTGAAAATGTGGGTTCAGTCACGTTCTGTAACTTTCTCTTAGCAACAGTATATTTCGCAAACTCGTTCTTCACGTAATAACGAATTAAATTTGTATTAATTCAACATACGCAAACTTAAGATATCATTCTCTCTCGATCATAAACCTGCAGGAAGGAAACAGCCTCAGAGAAGGGAAGATTGTGGATATGACGTAACTGTTTTACACACTGTCAGGAAATAATTGGGCAACGCGTAGATGTTTCCTTCTCTGACAAAGATAAATTATTTTTTTGGGGGGATAAATGAGGTTGCTTCATGTAGGTACGGTCGTATATGTTTAAATTGAAGCTACCACATTCATATATATGGTTACTGGTAATGTAGCACAGCTGCTAATCTTTGTGGGTCTATTGTACGACGTGTAATAATTATTATTAAGAGATGTAACTAATGGAGTGAAGGTGCCTGCAACGTCACGTTAACCAAGCCCTTTGCGGAACTCGTTTTTCCAGAAGGGTTGGCCGCGAGTGTTTCTGTGTTTGCCGCTGTTGTTTGTCTTGGACAAGCCCCGCGCGTCTGTCGACGTCGTTCCGGGAGCGAAGCGCGAAATTTCGCGATGTCCAGCCCACGCCGCGACGGGCTGTCGCGGACGCAGACGGCGGCGGCGCGGACGACCGGAAGCTCGGGCTGCGCCGGGCTGGGCCGGGTCCCGCCGAAGAAGCGGAGCCGAAGCCGCGGAGGTGGAGGAGACGGAGGTGGCCGAAAGAGAGGTGGTGGGAGGAGGGAGGGGGGAGCGCGGGCCGACGCCAGGTGTGTCGGGGATGGTTCGCGGCGCGGCCACGGCGGGCGGCCGCAGCGCTGCGCTCTCGGCAGGCGGGCCGCCGGGCCGCCGCCCTCACCCGCGCCCGCCGCCGCCGCCGCCTCCCGCGCCGCCGCTGCGGGCTCAGTCGAGTGGCGGCACGGCGCGCGGTGAGACGTGTTTCAACCTCCGCTCGCGCCCGGACGAGCTGCCTCCGCCGCCCGCTGTGCTCTGCCGCGCCGCTCCCCTCCCCTCCGCCCCGCCCCGCCCCTCGCTGTCTTCCGCCTTCTTCGCCGTCGTCGTCGTCTGCGAGCCGGCCCCCCGCCGGAGCCCGGCAGGCACAGCGCGGCGGCCGCTATGGTCCTGCAGGTTCTGGACCTGGTGACAGCGGCGCACGAAGCGTTCTACGGCGACTGCCCCAACACTGCCTTCTCCGTGGACGGCGGCGCCGGCCCGCCCGCCACCACCACCTTGATCCCAGGTAAACACGCGTTGTGACGGCTTCTTCGTGGTGGTGACTTTGATAAATACGCCAGGCGAGCACATGTCATCCTCCGGAAATATTCACTGCGTTGTTTGTATGTGGGTGTGTAGTAGGTTTTCTGGTGATTTATTTTCATATTTGTTTCTCGTATAACTTCAATTTATTGTTTCGAAATATTTACAATTGTGTATCTTGTAGATTAGTGTTCTTTTTTTATACGCGTGCACGGGATCAAACCTATTCCGTATATTTTGTGACTTCTCGAAAGTGTCGGCAGTGAATTGTTTATTGTGAAAAAGTTGATTGTAATGTTCTTTATGCACAATTTTTGTTTATAATGTCATGGTTCCTTTGTTTCAATTGATATATATTTCGAATTTCCAATTGCACATACCAAAATTTTGCTTCTATTAAAGTTATGTTTTTTAAAACAAACCAACAAACAAACAAACTTGGAATAAGTATGCCTGTTGATTTTTCTGTAGCCTTTAAAAAAATGTTCTGTGCATAGGAGAATTATGAAGCGCTGGAGTTTTTTATCTGGCGTGCCAGCTTCCATCTCTTTGTGTGCCCACTTTTATTTCGCATCGCGACTTCCGACGGGGCGGCGCGCGCAAATAAAGGGCGAGCGGAGTTGTTTCGCGCGTCCCGGTTTCGGGCCTGGCGTGACAGCGCTTCCTCCCGGGGGCCTCCCGTGTTCGCCGTCGTTATCGCGGGCCGCGTCGAGATACGGATCGGCGAATCGGGGAGCCGGCGACCGAGGCCCGGCCCGTTGTATTCAAACAAAGACACGCCGTCTTCGCCTGCGCGACAGGAAGGCACGGGCGCCACCCATATAGGGGCGCGGGCGGCGGCGCTAAAACGTGGGCCGCTTGCCGGCGTGGAGTCCGTCCCGGAGAACGAACGTTGCCGTTGGCCGGTGTTTATTTCCTCGCAGATTCCCTGCGCATTGCGTTTGCTCAAACGCGTCATGCTGTCGATGTGATTTTGGATGTACCTCAAGACACTGAAGCCTCCTAGTCATTCCCCGTCGCATATCGCGTGTTAAGTGGTGGTTGGTGCGTTATTGTAATATTGTTTTGACGTTATGTAATGTCTTACAGGATTTATATTTTTGTAACGTATGATAGGAATGATGAGTGACATTTTATTTTATGAGTTGGAAACGAACAAAATAAAATATCATTTACAATGCACGCCTTGTACCATGTTTGTGGCAGTCTTACTGACTTCCATTTTGTTTTAATTCTACTATGTAAATCACTTATGTATTTTTTCATTAAGGTCAATAGTAGCTGACGGGTATTTTGCTGCACTACCCTTTTGTGAACTTTTTCGCGACATCTTTTGTTTTTGTAATATTTTAGCATCTTGTCACTTTTGCACTAGTGCTAGATCTTGAACTTTAAATACGTCGTGCATGCCCTAAACGTAAGTTTTTACTGGTGGCTGTCTAAAAATATAATTATCTCCCACTACAAGTTGTATTAGCTAGATCACATACATGCTTTTAGTAGATTTATTGCATATTGTGTGTAACGTTCTTCCCGTATGTTTGTTCCTCGTGAAATAATTTGAATATTGGTTATGATTCTGGAGTTCATTGCGAATGATTGTAGAGAAAAAGAGGAAAGAAATTTGTGTGAAGTAATCTCCCAGAAAGAGATCGTACTCTAAGTTTACTACGTTTGTAATCGTATAGCAATGAATAGCAAAATCACACTACGAAGATATTTTTATCGATAGGAAGGTTTCGCATTTTTGTAACCATCTTTCATCGGCTCGTTTTTCCTCCCAAGGTGACTAAACTAGTAATATTTCAAATTATAATAATAATAATAATAATAATTATTTTATTATTATTATTATTATTATTATTATTATTATCTACTCAAACAGTGCTTTGAAACCCTTTTTCTTTAGGTTAATTTTATTTGGGAAGACACGCCGCCTTTGTTAGTGTTGCACGTTGTCCTCGCGTAGCGCCCGGGCGCGCGCTGGCGAAGCTGGCTGGGGCGCGTGCACGGTGTGGGGGGGGGGTGCATGGGGCGCCGCGCTCCGCAGCGACGCCAATGAGTTAATGAAGCGAGGCAGGTGGCCGCGGCTCAGTCACGTCGCTCCCGCACCCGCGGCGCCCCCCGCCGCCAACGCACTCCCGTGGACGTCGTTGCAAACTATGATACACATGATGTCGCTCACCGTGATAAATGATTCTAAGGTTGGGAAATCTGAAGTTGGCATTTAGTGAACCTTATGATATTAAGAATCTACTGTACGTGTGATCGGTTCCTTTCTTACGAACTGAATGTCTTAGAATGATCTGATAATTCACCTGAAATCGTTATCTTTTTCTGGCGTAATCTTTTAATTTTCTGGTTGAAGTATAGGCTTATTATCTTTGAATTTTTTTGAGGAGGGGAGGTTTTACGTGAAGCCCCTTAGACATTCTTAAAATTTTCTCAAAAAATTGCTCAATATTCTTTCTTTCTTTTTTTTTATTTCTCGATTTACTATATTTAGAGGAATGCATGCTTCTAGTGATAAAGTTGTATTGACATGATCCTGAAAAGTGTATAACCTAAGTCAAAGAATTTATAAATGGCTTTGCTGTAAATCTGTAATATTAACCAGCCAAGAAGGGTCGCTATCACTTTACAAGTTAGGTTATTTGATTTCTTTGCATCGCTTACTATGCGGAGTTGTGTGCACAATGCCTGCGAGAGTCTTGAGTCGCGGGTGTGACCAGCATTGGCCCATTAAGTATCGTATTCAAGCAATGTCCATTGTGCTTGAGTCCGAACCTAGGTCTCGCTTGCGTATTGTCCGGCCAACAATGATACTCGATTACCCTTTGTTACTACCCATGTCAAACGCATGTAACTGGGCACCTGAATTCATAGTTCTACTTTTGTTCGAGAGTGGAGCATGTTTTGGAATGTCAAGGACGTCGAGAAATAAAAATAATCTTGAACTTGTAATTGTCTTTTGTTTACTTCAACTCGAAGAAAGTAAGTAATATGTATACAAGTCAATGTATACAACACTGTCGAAATAAATTTTCTACAATGCATAAATATTCATGTATTTCATACTGGGAGGGAAGGCAATTTCTCTCCGTCTTAATCACTTAAGTCATTGGGGTGGACTCTAATTTTCCGCGTAACCTCCATGCAGGCTTGTTCTTTGTGTCGGGTGCTGGAGAAAGCTCTTTTCAATCCGTGAGAGGCGCTGGGTTCGCATTGAAGTCGGGCGAACCACAACCTCATTTCTGATGGATGAGGTGACAATATCTGAATGCATCGCGATTTTGTGGAAGATGCAATTGCATGGTTCAGTAATTAAACGATATATCCTTTCTTTTCTCATATCTATGCAAAGACAAGGAGAAGCAAATTTGAGCTCTTTAAAAATTCTCGTACGTCTTCACTTGCCACGTGTGTTACAGCCCTAATTTCATTTCTCCCAATATGTCCAATAATTTTGACGTCGCTCCGCATTGAACGTTCAATCTAACAATGATTTTAACGAAATTAATAGAAATCCTTTTAAAATTATCCCAAATCAAGCTCTTTTAATGAAAATGTCCCACCGTACTTTTCTCACCACTCTCGTTGTCAATAACAAGGAACGAAATGCAGTGGCAGTACTAGCAGATACGCAACAGTTTAAGGAAAGCCGAATTCCGAATAGGGCGCGTGCGTGAGTCACGATGCTAGGGCAATTATTTCCGTACAAATACTCTACGTATCATATCACTTATAAGCCTATGTTTTATTACGAAAGAAGTGAGGTGTTGGCAGTTACGAGGTATTTTGGTCAGTTTGTGAACTTTTGAGTCAGAAAAAAATTGTGTGTTCAGATTCATATGGTTTATCATTCTAAGTTTAATTTGAATGACATAAAAATATAATTAGTTCAAACAATTTAAGTAACCGAGAAACTAATTGACTTGGTTTACTCTGCAATTAGTGATGATATTCATCCGGAGTTTCAAATCCTGTAGTTCTGATGGCTTATTGTTTCGTCATTGGCAGAAAGGAAAGGTAGTTTCAAGTTTCGAGTTCAAGCACAAAAAGTCTCTCGGTAAGAATTTTTAAACTCGAAAATTTGACGACAGCGTACCCTTTTTTCGATATTAAACGATCTGCTCCAAATTCTCTCGTCTTTTTGGTAGTTCTGCAGCTTCCCATGCTCAGCTATTAAATTTGTCGAATAGTTAAAGAATCATAGACGTTGACATTACCTATATTTTGAAAAATTAAAATAAATATGAATAAAAAAATAAAAAGATTGGTAATGGCAAAACATTTCAATGAAATATTTGCAAATAACGTTCTTGAATATTAGAAAAGTAGTATCCGTTGTCATTATCAACAGTTTAAAAAAACACATCAAAGTGCGTAATATAAATATGAAATTAAAATACTGGTAACGGCAACGTGTTTTATTCAAATATCTGGAATCCGCGAGAGTTTGTTCGAAAAAAAAGAAAGAAACCGAACTTCTTTTTGCCGATTAGCCTATATTTTTCATGTCCAATCATAAATATAATAAACAATTTTTAAATGCTCTTAATATTAGGCCCCCCGCAAAATACAACTTAATTTTATGCCTAACCCATTTACTGTTGAATTCTCCTACTACTATTGTATTGCAGTAACATTGAACACGAGGAATGGGGTTTGCAGTGGCCGCAGGAAGAGCCTGGGTCAGCCTCCTGCTCGAAAGGTCTGTTGCTTCCCTCGACCGGTCGCGAGCCTGCCTTCTTGCCTGCCGCCCCGTATTTCGTAGCCTGTGCCGGCCGGCGCGGCGCGGCGCGGCGGGGGCATCGTTATAAAAGTCCGGAATTAAGCTCGCGTGGCGGCGCGGCAGTGCTCGGCACGAGCCAAGGGGCCAGCGGCGCCTGCACCTGTTGCCAGCCAGGCCTTGGGCCCCGCCGTGGCGCGCCCCTGCCGCCCGCCATTGTTACGTGCGCGCCATTGTCAGAGGCGTTTATGATACGGTGGCGGGCCGGTGGACGGTGCGCGCGCTCGTCCCGCGGTCCGTCGCGGCGGTCAACGACCGCACGCACCTGCCCTCCCGCGCCACCACGCGCCCGCACGCCCCCGCGCGACGCTATTGGCCAGGAGTACGGCCCCTCGTTAGCCGACCTCGAAGTAACATTCCACGAAAATGTAGCCTCTTCTGCGCACGATTTTAAATGAAATTCGTAAAAATCTTTTGAACGTGAACGTGTTTTAGCATTCTGCAGCTGTAGAGGCAAAAGTGACGCGAATAAAAATTCGGGAATATTTGGCCCTCTCGTTGGCCCTTGTGTGCGTTTGATGTAAATGCAATTAATTACCCTACAGGAAATGGGTCATTTAAAAAAGATGATGATGCTTATTCTCGAGACTTGGAGTAGCAGTCCACGGAAGATTGAGAAAGCGGACCTTATCCCGAAATCCGAAAGTACCTAATTTCTCATCTCTCAGTTAGCCCGTACGCCTTGCAAACCGCCCGGCGGCGCGTTTACGCACCCCGTGCCGCATCGCACCTGCCTCCCCCTCATGCTCACTCTCACCCCCTCTCTCCCTCTCTCTCTCTCTCTCTCCTCTCTCTCTCTCCTCTCTCTCTCTCTCTCTCATCCGGCCGGTGTTCCCGGGGCGCCGGCGCTTTGTGCGTCCACACCGTCGCCACCGCCCGCGTCGCGACGCAACAGCTTTCGGGCCGGAGCGGCGGGCGGCTGCTGGGCCGCAACGGTGCGCGCGCCCGGACCACGAGTTTTTGTCTCTCTGCCCCGCGCCGCCTCGCGGCCGGCCCGTGCCGATGACAGGTGGCCGACTTCCCGGCGCGGAAGCGATCTGCCGCCGCCGCCGCCCGCCGCCGCCGCCGCCGCGCCGGCCGCCGCCGCCGCCGCTGCTTCGCGCGCCATCGACCATGTGCGAGCGGAACGGGTTTCTTCGTGTGGGAGAGTCGCTTGCTGCTTCAGCCTGAGTAATGCCGAGGCATTGCTGACATGGATAGTGGTCTTGAACATAAAATTAAGTGATGCAGTATGCCATCCCCGGGAGTTTTATATGCTGTATGTTTCTGGTGGCTTTATTGGGTTTAGTCATTGGCAGTTTCTTATTTGCTTTTTGTTTTTTTTAATTATTTTTTTTACGAATGGAAAATGTAGTTTAAATATTCGTAGGTGAAGCCGAAAAATCACTCGTTAAGAAATTTTAAACGGAGAAATTTGAATACTGCCCAAAATAAGTTTTTCATAGACAAAAAACGCAAACACAAAGTACCCTGTTTTCGATATTAAATGAGTGCTTGCAACACACACTTGCAATCAAAGGTTTGTACTGTTTGTAACCTGCTCAGTATTCAGATGCTAAAATGCATTTTTAATACACGTTAAATAATAGTTCATACTTTTGGGAGCCTATTTAAATGTTTTCATCTACGTTTGAGAAAAATTCCGTATCGCTTGGAGTACGTAATTACCTCAAGCCGCTTCTAGTCATTTCAATATTTAGAAGCCATCTTTCAGTCACGTGAAACATTAACCATGAATTAATACAGCCTTTTTTTCATGTAGAATTCACACGCATATGTAATTTACAGCAAATCTTTCCTTTCGCTTCAGTTGTCCTAGTTACCCAGGAGATTCAATGCAATGTAACAGGGCTAATTCGAATTGGCATCTTCTGAGCGCCCACATGGCCTCTCGCAGCAGCGGCCACAGAAGAAAACGAGCAACAGAGTTTTTTCCTGTGTGTCGGCGGCGGCGGCAGCGCGGAGCCTGCAGGTAACCCCGGGGCCCGGGTTTTTATACCCGAGCGCCTCGGCGGCGAGGCGCTTTCTGCCGCCATGTGTGCGGGCGGTGCCGGTGCGAGAGCTCGGGCCGGCGCCCGTGGCGCCGCCGCCCCCGCCGCCGTGTCCGTCGACGGGGGCAGGTGGGGCGGCAAGTGAGGCGGCGCCGCGCCGCGCCGGTGCGTGAAGGCTGCGGGCGCCGGCCGCGCCGTGAAACATTTGCCGCCCCCGCTCGAAAAGTTCGAATTATGGAGGCGCGGCGCCGCGCCACTCGAGCCACTCCGCGCTCTGGGAACTTGCTCCTGACTGCGCGGGCCTCCGCCGGGGTGGCGGGCGAGCGGGGCACCAGTGGGTGTAAAGCTGCAGGACGTGTATTGGTGTTTTTGTTGGAGGGTTGGAATTGTTTTCCGTCAGTACATGAGTTGTTCGAAGTGGCCGGATTCTGTAGGACGTAGCTAACTTTGACTTAGGCTTGGGCATCGGGAATGACGGGGTTTGACAGCCGAATGGTGACTGTGGTATCGAATTTATCAGCTGCCACGACTGGGGTCTAAGATATAAGCATGTTGTCACATCTAATGTTCATCGATTATGATATATAATTACTTGAATCAATCATAATGTAATCCAACAAGCGACCGATGCTTCCACGCTTTAAAGTGTTACTTTAAGCTTCTGTTTCTAACAACTTATTATAATTATTTTTGGGAAACGAGAGCGCGACAATACTTATCTCGATGAAATAAGCCAGCGTCCGTCCCAAAGCAATGGCCACACTCTGCGTCCACGGATTTGCGCGCGCTTTGGACCGTCCCGGTCCTAAGCAGGCGCTGCGCTGTTTCCCAGTCGCGGCCCGCGGCTGTTTGTGTGGGCGGACGTGGGTCAAGGGGCGGGGGAGGCCTCAAATGTAAGCAGTGTCAATTAAGACGAGCGCGCCTTGGCGTTTGTTTTGGCCGGTCGTTACCGTCCTCTTTGTTCGAACCGCCTCCGGCGTTGCCGGCCCAGCTCCGCCCGCCCACGCCACGCCCCCCGCCCGCTCCCGCTCCGCCCCGCCTCTACCCCGCCCCGCCCCCGACTTTCGCGCCTCCCAGCCGTGGAAACTCCGCGCGCGCCGACCGCGGGGCCCCTGCCTTCGCTGCGTCTTGTTTCCCAGGTTCGACCTTGCTGTGGCCAGAAGATTAATTGTTGATTGCCGCCCTATCTAAGTGCAGCTGTTCAATCCACGGCCATGAAGACAGTTCGTATATATATAATATATATTATATATATATTATTAATATATATACTATATATTACGATGTCCATCGGCTAAGTTGAAATATTTTGGGTTACTGATTTTGTGATGTAGATTTATGATAGATTTTA